AAGTGTCATTTCAAGATGGTTAGATTTGTCCATACCCTGTCACTTCACAAGTCTGAGCGGGGTCAGCATTCGTGGGTCTTGCACAATGATACAAACATAAATACTGCAATTTACCTACAATTGCCTGATGTTCAATTTCATCAACTAGCGGCTACGTGTTTGGAAATAAACAACGAGTTTGTCACTTCCTCTTGATTTACTTTAGATATTTATGGTTCATTGTCGTGGCTCTGGACGCGAGCAAACCCAGCATCTGATTTGCAACTGATAAAAGTGGCAATATTCCAGGACTAATCCACATTCGATTAAGTATGAGAACGGCTATTTAAGATGGGGAGAAATTATTTCCACTGGTCAGTGAGTCAGTAGTCAGAGAGCGTGAATTTAAAGGTACAGTAAAACTCACATCAGTCGTATCAGTCAGGACCAGAACATTTTAATACGACTTGGGTGAAATCCTAGTTATGGGCAAACTGTATAAATTGTACAAAATATGCTTTAATCAACTATCTACACTGCGCATGCGTAATTGTAATGCGTAATTTAATTCTTGTTCATGCCTTCATCACATCCAGGCTCAACTATGCAAACCCCCTGCTTGTTGGCCTTCCCAACTCCTCCCTCCACAGGCCGCAGGCAATCCAGAACTCTGCAGCTCATGTCCTCTCCCGCACCAAACTCCGTGACGCCATCTCCCCCACTCTCACCCGACTCCACTGATTCTCTATCTTTCAGAGGATCCAGTTCAAGATCCTGGTCCTCACCTACAAAGCCCTCCATGGCCTCACCCCACCCTACCTCTGCGACCTCCTAACCCGCTAACAATCCGCCCGTTCCCTCCGCTCAGCCGGCTCTGGTCAGCTCCACGTCCCCCGACCCACCCGCCCCACCATTGACGGGAGAGCCTTCAGCCATTCCACCCGCGACTTCTCATCCCCCAGTCACTCCGCCTCGCCCCCTCCTTAGCCTCCTTCAAGTCCCACCTCAAAACCCTCCTCTTCGACCATGCCATCGGCCACCCCCTTCCCCTCCCCCCCCTGACCCCAGCTCGGGTCTGAAAAGCTGTACACTGTCCAGCGCCTTGAGACGTCCTCCCGACGTGAAAGGTGCTATACACATGTAATCTTGATGGTGTTGCTGTTGTGGTGGTTGCAATTCAATCAGTGCACAAGAGGTAGTTTGCCACTGCAGTCAGTAAGTGTGCATGGTGTGACGGGTCAAGGCGATGTTACCCGCGATTCAATCAGCCGGCTGGGAAGTGCGCATGTGTCAACTGGTCAGGACATCACTGCCTACAATTCAACACAGCCGGTAAGTGAGGGTGTAACGGAGGGTAGGGGAGCGCAGTTTCGAGTTAGGAAATGAAAGTGCCCAGAAATCGAATTGGTTTTGATAGTAAACTAAACGGGACTCGGGTACCTGTATGATTTAGGCATCTGTACGATTCCTAAAGACAAGACTTGTGCGAGTTTTACTGTAATCACCAAAGAGCAAAGGGAGAGGTTGGGAGTTTTTCTTTTAAAAAAAACAGAGGTTTGTGGAACGCCCTGCCAATAATGGTGGTTGAGGCACAATCCACCTCCGTTAGGACTAGCGAATTGGATTAACATCTGGCATGGAAAATTATTAGCCCGTGTGGGGGCTAATAAAAGCTCTTTCAGAGAGCCAGTCCAGGCACAATAGTTCCAAGACATTTATGCAACTTCTCGTCACTGCTCGCCAACTTTGGGGAAAAAAAATTATATTAACTCATGATTTATGCGTAAACTGCTTAATGTCTGTTAAGTGCAGAAAATGTTGGTTAAAAAAAAATACTGCCTTGTAAAAAGAATTTTCTGAACTCGCTGATCTGACTCCTCATAACCATCAGTGGGGCGGATAAATGCTTGTTTTGGCAGCCGATCAAATCAGAGCGGGTTTATACGTTTGGAAATTAACGAGTCTTTCTTTCTGCAAATGTTCCCTAGTCTCCTGGCAACTGAGAGAGTAGTGCTTATCTCACAAGCAAGCTACATCGGCACAAAAATTCCTAGAGTTTTGAAAAATAATTGCAAACCTTCGAGTCATCTGACGTGTTGTAAAACACAGTGGGGCCTCATTGTAAGGGGAAGTAAGGGAGGTCGATAAAAACTGCTTCAGAACAAGACCACGATAGCCATAATAATAATAATCCTTGCATTTGATATAGCGCCTTATCGCTTCTTCGAGACGGCTCAAAGCGCTTCACAGAATACATGGTGAAGCGTAGTGACTGTGTGTTTTGTGGGCGAAACGCGGCAACCAATTGCGCACGGCAGTGTCCCACACACAGACGTGGATTGGGTGACCAAATTATTATTCGGAATAGTAATAATTCACAGCGCACGCGCACAATCAGCTGGCTCGCGCACTGATGAAAGGTCGACAGGTTGCTACTGATGTCACTTCTGTTGTACTGGGCAACATAGGAAGTGATGTTGGCAAAGAAGTCGGCCGTTTTTAAGTGCGCAAATTGGCACATGGACGGTGATCGAAGCATCCAGCTGCACACCTGCAGAGTTGAAGGGGATCCACACAGTCTTTGTGTTAAAGATAAATAAACCAGCACTTATAAATAAAGTGTCTCATAACCAGGTAGCACTGCATTGCAATGTTAAATCATCTGTAATGATCGTGGGGTTTCACGACACCTATTCCAGCCAGATAATAATGATAATAATAATAATCCTTGCATTTGATATAGCGCTTTTCACGTCTTCTAGACGGCCCAAAGCGCTTCACAGAATATACTGTAAAGTGAATTGACCGTATATTTGTGGGCGAACGCGGCAGCCAATTACGCACAGCAATGTCCCACAAACAGTCATGGATTGAAAATGACCAATTTATTATTGTTTTCGGTTTTGGAGGGATTATTATTAGGCTCTGTGTGGAGTAAGGAAACTTGCCCAAGGTTTCGCCCTCTGCCTGGAATTGAATTCAGGTCTTTCGCTTGCAAAGCGAGTGCTCTAACCACTGAGCTGCAAGACTCCACAGATCTAAGAACTCTTGAAAATGCCTGCTGCAGAATTTTAACAAATCTCCACTCAAATCCTAACATAGCGTGCGCGTGGTTTTTATGCCTTGTAGGATTGTAATTTGCTTTACATTCTGATTCTGCTTGACCCGATGTTGACTTTACACGAGAAGATGCTAAAATCCTTCAGGGCTTCAAGTAACAAGTCTTTAAAATTTCAGCTTGCAATCATATTTTTTTGGGAGGAGAGAAAAAAAAGCTCGTGGATAACATTTCAGCGTTGCGCACAACCACAACTGGAATAAGAAAATCTCTGAGCAAGCAGTCTATGTTCAATAAAAATAGTACACAATTAAGTAACCAACACACATTGTACACAGGGCTTCAGAACCCAAATGTGCTTTCAAATAGCAGGCCCCAGTGTCCGCAAATGGATCGTGACACTACACACCAAACCCGTTATGAGCAAGACATCGTGTGATAATAAAATAATAATATTAATTTGGTGACTCAATCCACAGCTGTTTGTGGGACAGTCCTGTGTGCAATTTGGCTGCCGCGTTTCGCCCACAAAATATACAGTCGCTACGTTTTATGGTGTATATTCTGTGAAGCGCTTTGAGACGTCTCGAAGAGCTGATAAGGCGTTGTATCAAATGCAAGGATTATTATCATTATAAAGGCGTGATATGAAATGGCCATTGTGGAGGTTGCTTCCTGTACTCAAATGCTTCATGGGCAACAGAATTTTAGTGCGCTGAGCTTCGGATGTTGCATTCACTTACTGTTTGCTCACGAGAAGCACTATACTGGGGCACATTCTAAAGGTGAGACTGTTTTGTTGAAGGAATTCTGTTGCAATAATAGGACAAGGGTTCAATTTTGTTCAAGTTTGATCAAATTTAATCGAACTCAATTCAAAATGTCAAGATAGAAGGATCGTAAGACATCGACCAAATCAAGGATTCATTGAACTTTATTTTAGAGTGAGGATTAATTTCTCCCATTCAAGATTTAAAAAAGGGACAGTCTCCGATAGACTCCAATAGGCAAGCCATTTTGCATAATTTCTAATAATGTAGGTAGCACATTTGGGGTGGGGGGAAAAAAGCGATTTTTAATTGAATTAAGTTGCAAGTGAAATGACAAATGCTTTGACAAGGCAAATCACATTTCCAAAACATTTACATTTGAAGGTTCATAAGCAAATATTTCTTTTCAACTCAACTGCCAAGTACTTGGAAAAAATTACCAGCAACACATAGTTCGTTATCGTCGAGCAACAAACATTGAAAGAAATAACAAAAAAGCACAGTGCGCTCCCCCACCTTGTCTAACTTATTCTTTCAAAATCATTTCCGTTGTTGCATCCTTATTTGCTTCCAACAATACCAAGGCTGAACAAAGCCAGTTACTCGTTTTGTGATGATTCTTTGTTTGATGTTAGCACTTCAATATAATATAATACCAAATTAAGTTTGTACAGCGCCTTTCACGTCAGGCGGACATCCCAAGGTGCTGGACAGTCAGGGATTTGTACCCAAGCTGGGGGGTGTCGGGAGATGGGAGGGTGGAGGGCAGGGAGGGGAGGAGGGTGGCTGAAGGCAATGGTCGAAGAGTAGGGTCTTGAGACGTGCCTTGAAGGAGGCAAGGGAGGCAGTGAGGCGAAGGGAATGTGGGATGGAGTTCAATCAGGTGGGAGCAGAGAGGCTGAAGACCCAACCGACAATGGTGGGGAGGGCCGGGCGGGGGACGTGGAGCAAGCCTGCTGAGCGGAGCGAGCGAACAGGTTGAAACAGGGCCAGCAGGTCGCAGAGGTAGGGAGGAGCAAGGCCGTGGAGGGCCTTGAAGGCAAGGACGAGGATTTTGAACTCTATCCTCTGGGGGATGGGGAGCCAGGGAGTTTTGGGCGTGTTTAGGGTTGTCCCAGGGTATAGACAAATGCTTCATTTTTATAACACAGTAAATCAAGACGAGTAAAATAATCAGACGCACAAATACTTACAACTGGCATTGATCTCCTTTGATTCCCTTCGTGGTGCAAAAGCATTTCCCTGTTTGTGCCTGGCAAGCGTTTGCATGTCCATTGCATTTGCAAGCTGTGGAGCAAAGAAATGTTCCTTTACGTTAAGGCAACAACCGTCACAATGAAATAACCAACAATGGACCCCCAAGAGCGGTTACTGGGTTTTAAATCTTTAGGAGGAATTCGGAAACGTTCATCGACTTCAAGAATGAAACTTAAGAGGTTTATTTAGCTCTATACTGGGCTGGGTGCAAGTCACCAATCTGCTTAAACTCACGACTGAGGATAGTGCAAGGCGCAGAAATCCAAACAGGGAGAAAATGGTGCATCTCTCTCTCACGCACTCGCACAATAAAAAAATGTGGATTGTAGGTGCACCCGATTTAGTCTGATTCTGTCTCTACAATGGCATCACTCAGATGCCAACTGTTAGTCTGATGAGTTTTGACAAAGATATGGATGGGTTAACGACATCAATATTGCAGTTTTAAAAAGAAATAGCGATTTGAGCTTTCAATACAATTGAGATGGAGTAAAGGCTATGCTTATGTTGAAATTAACCTCAATATTCACTCGATTCCTGGACTTTACCAGTAAAGTGTGATAATTGCAACCTGCGTCAAGTTTCATGGAAATGTGGGTTTGTTTGATGCGGATAAATTAACAGAATACAACAGCTGGGAAAATCAGCTCTCGAATTTAAGAATGTGCGTTCACAACCTTTGGAAATCTATTTTAGTAATTCACATCATTTCAAAGATTTGGAACCAGAAGAATAGCAGCAAATTGCTTCCACTTCGCTGAGATTGATTGCATTGTGTTTGAGACTATACGCCTACTGCTCGTTGGTTAGATCTGCCCATTCCAGTTGAGAGAAAAGGCATGACCCCAGTCTAAATTCAGAATACGTGGAATGCCTCACCTCAATGCAAAAGAACATGAAGGAAGGAGGAACAGTAACTTAATTATTTACTGCCCCTTTGATGAACATTTCAACTATCAGGCGGTTAGTTGTAAGAGATTATTGGCAGCCATGGAGATTGTCACAAGCTGTCTGTCCTTTCCCCTCTCCGAGGAGGTCAGGGAGAAAGAGAGGCACAGCAAATAAAAGCGATACAGAGAACATTCATCTACTGCAACGTACAAACGAGATTTCACACAGTCCAATCCCGATAAAAAAAAAGAATGGCTTATAAGCAATTTGCCAAGAACCGTGCGTTTAGATTAAGAGCTTGCAAAAAAATATAAATTCACAGAATACATCATGGTTTATGTGTTTGGAGCAAAGTGTATTTATCTAGACTCTAGACTTTACTTTAAATAGCAACACTGGGCCTTTTGTAAGCAACGTGTCAAGTGAAATGTATTCTCTTGTGTATCCAAAGGAAGCATTTGTTAAAGGGAGCAGGAAGGGTAGCCCCAACAGCAATGTGCATCAGAATTCAAGTCGACGACAATCAAATCCAACTGAAGTCAATATGTCACCTGTGAATGAGGTGAATTTAGACTTGCGGTCAGGTCATATTTGCATTAATATTTGAACGTTCTGCTTCATGCCAAAATAGCCACAACTGCTTCTTTCAACGCTCGCACAATAGCTCAGCTGTTCGGGTGATATAAACCAGATTGCAATTGTAAAGTCACGATCAAGACATCGTTTCAATCTTAAAATTGCATCCAAGCACTTTCCGTAGTTCAAATATTTGCCCCATATCCAATCAATTATCAGATGCTGGATTATATACTTATTGATTACACACAATAAGGATATAGAAATGTGCTGAATCAGTATGCATGGAATTCCAATGTGCAAAATTAAAATATGAAGAGCTTAATGAGACCATAATAGCACACAAAGCACTTTTCAGTTCAGCTGCAGCTGAAAGTTTAACCTCATCCCCATCTGTAGGAATAAAATGCCACTTTTGTGAGTGTAATCTTCTCGTCCTTTTTTTCTTTCAGTGGGGAATTGTGAAAAAAAAATACTTTTGAGAATCATTTATTGTTACATTCAATCATTTTTTTTAACAAAAAAGTAATCTACAGTAGAAAATATGATAGAAAATAATCCAATTGAGCAATATATTCTATAGTGTCAAGACATTGCAGACATTCCTAGAGAAGCACAGTTGCAATTCAATCCTGAGCAAAACGACACTTGTCCAAAATATCAAAGGTTGAGATTATTTTTTGGGGGATATATTTCTACTGATAGAACGATTTTTATTTCCAAAAAGTAAACTCAAAATAAATGTAAAGGTGGGATTATATGTAAAAAAAANCTAATTTGGCTGAATCCCCACTTTGCGAAACAATGTGTGAGTAACCCAATACGTGTCTGAACACGATTAAATACACAATAATAATAATCCTTCCATTTGATACAGCGTCTTATTACCCCGTTAAGACGTCTCAAAGCGCTTCACGGGATAGACTGTAAAGTGGATTGACTGTGTATTTTGTGGGAGAAACATGGCAGTCAGTTTGCACAGTAATGTCCCATCGACAGTCATGGAGTCAGTGACCGATTTTCTTTGGGGGATTTGTTGGCCAGGACAATTTAGTGGTCTTGAGCAATCTCCTCAGTCTTCAGCGCCGATTGCACTAAATGGATGAGGAAATATTAATTTTTTTAAAAAAACGAATACATGAGAATTAATCACCAAGAATATTATGACTTTTTTTTAATTCATCAGAGATGACTGAGATTTTCTCCCAGTCACTTGGCGACATGAACCGAATTTGCTCTTGGGATCTGATACCTTCACTAATTGTCGCTCCTCCTTTGCTGAAAGCTTTGAAGCTTTTTTGTTTGCCACTTTTTGGGGTTTTTTTTCAAACCATTTCCTAGAATTTATTTGAGCAGTTGGGAGCGTCAGACACGCGCGGAAACCCATCGTCGAGCTTAAAGGCATCCAAACGAGTCTTAAGAGTTCCAAGTATGAACGCCACACTCGCTCGGGACAGGTCCACAGGTGACTGCGCCTTTTCAAAATAAACAAAGTGAGTTTCCCCCGCACTTCCCGCCCAACTAATGGCGGTCGAGCATTCAGCATCTCTGCCCCCACCCTCTGGAACGCTATCCTGCAATCCCTCTGCCTCGCCCCCTCTCTTGCCCCCTTCAAGTCCCGTCTAAAGACCTTCCTCTTGCACCATGCCTTCGGCCAAGTCTTTGTGTGGTGAAATCAGCACGTAAAGTGCAAAAAGATTAATGTTGTATTTTATAATCAATGTTATTTCATTTTACATTTTGCTAGGATTTAGCTTTTCTAATCCTTAAATGGAATAGTATCCCCGGTGGTATAGTAATGGGTTTTGGGAGCTTTCCTTCAAAATAATATGGAAAGGTCTATCAAGATGTTTGCACCACAGGATAAGAGAAAGCACCTTAATCAGTCAGTACCGATTTTAAAAGGATTATGGTTATGAATGCAAATATGCTGACAACTTAAGCCCATTATTTTTAAATGATTACAAGCGATACAGAGCACATTCACCAGTTTAGCACAAAGATACGTCGGGTAGAAAGTGCAGGCAACACCACACCCGCCACATATGAACCTGACACCCCTGAAAGACGTCAATGGGGATCTCTAGGCAAACTACCATTTAAATTCATCGACCCGTTAATGTTGGGAGCACAAATGTAATGGTGCCATCTGTCTCAGTCACCTCTCAGCCAGAAGGTTGTGAGCTCAAGCCCCACCTCAGGGCTCTGAACTCGCATAGTCTAAGCTTACGCTCCAATGCCATCGAGGAGTGTGCTGCATTGTTTCAGGTGCCATCCTTCTGGTGAGACATTAACCGAAGTCCCTTCTATCTGCTCTGATGGGCGTTAAAGATCCCTTGGCACTGGACAAGGGAGTTTGTCTTTGTTTTGGAAATTAGCAATATAATAATATTCCTTGCATTTGATATAGCGTCTTATCACATCTTCGAGACGTCTCAGAGCACTTCATAGAATATACTGTAAAGTGAAGTGACTGTATATTTTGTGGATGAAACACAGAAGCCAATTGCCCAAAGCAGCGCGGCCAAATTATTATTATTTTTATTGATTTATTTTGAAGCGATTATTACCTCCGGGAAAGCAATCCGCCAATCGACGAACAACCGAGTTCCTACTTACTGCTAGGTAAACACAGGCGTATGGAGTAAGAAAACATGTCCAACTTTTTTCCCTACCCGGGAATCAAACCCAGGACCTCTCACTTGCAGGGCGAGGGCTCTAACCACTGAGCTACAGGACTCCAAATGAATACAAAATAATGATACAAGAATATATGCTTAAGACTTTGGCAGAAAACTCATGATTTCAATAAACAAATATAATGAACAACACACACAAAAAAAATACAGCCTGTTAGCTTCCTTGTGGGTTTAAGCATGAATGTGCCCCACTCAGGGACTCAGCAGAACTGACACATGCATCTCATTTATACACTTGGGAGGTGGACAACTAATTGACCTAAATTCAAAACAGCCATCCTCACATCTATCTGTTATGGGATAGTGGAAAGGCAAACAGTGTTCTCTTGCCGCAACAAATAATCAATTTGGTTTCTCGGTTCCGCAAAGATCTGCTCTGTATGATTCAGGTCAATGCAACAAAACAAAAACAAAAATCTCAAGCACACCTTTTCCAAAAAAAAAACCCCAAAAGATTTACAATCAACTGCAGTTTAATTGTCCTCTTGATAGTATTTAAAGATGGGCCATGCCAGATTTCTACATCAGCTTGGTTTGCAGATTCTATAATAGTCAGTTACAGCTGGAGCTTCTGAAAGAAAGGGGGTTTGCGTTATTATCAATCAGCCATTTCAATGTCACGTTTTGTTTGACGGCGCTAAAGCAGCAAAGATGAGGCCACGCATGCTGTAAACTGGTCTCCTGCTGAAATCCCTTCATATTATATAATATGGAGCACTCGGAGAGACTTTGACCTACGGGAATGTCGCAATATAAATGCAAATTGTCGGTGCTCTAATCATCCTTATATTTGATACACCACCTTATCCCCATAAACAACAACAAAATGACATTTGTATTGCGCCCTTCACGCAAGGATTATTA